GACCTGTTGTCTGCGACTCACCTCGCTCCCAAGTGTGGTGATTTTACAGCGTGAGGGCACACCGTGGCGCCCGGTCCTTATGAGGTTTTACAAAGGAGTCAACACAGGTATACCCAGGTTGTTAGCAATCAGTGTTTGGTGAAGATTAGGCGAGTTGCATCTGTATAGTATTTCCTTCACCTGCCTTATGAGAAAGCACAGCAGTCTGAGAGAAAGAAGATATGGCCAGGCATGGTGGCTCACGCCTGTAGATTCCCACACACCTGGGGAGGCTGAAGCCGGCAGGATCGCTTTGAGCCCAGGAGTTTGAGACCAGATGGGCACCCACATGGCCAATACCCCTCTCTACAACAAAAAACGAAAGCAAAAACCAAAAACAAAATAGAATTAGCAAAAATAAGCCTGGCATGGTGGCATGCAACCTGTGGTCTCGGCATGTTCAGGGAGGCTGATGTGGCAGGATCACTGTGAGCTGGAGGAGGTTGAGGCTGCCAGTGAGCCATATCGATGGCACTCGCACTCACAGCCCTGCGGCGACAGAGACTCTATCCTCAAAAAAAAAAAAAAAAGAAAAAAGAAGCGGAGGGAGAGAGAGCAAAAATACTGGCAAGTGTCTGGGGCATTGGTGGCTCATGCGCCTGTAATCCCAACACTGTTGGGAGCCCGAAGTGGTGGGCGAATGCACCTTGAAGATCAGAGTTTGGAGACCAGCCTGCCAACATGGTGAAACCCGTTTCTACTAAAATATCCAAAACTTAGCTGAGGCATGGCGGCGGCGCCTGTGAATCGCCCAGCTACTTGGGAGACTGAAGCGGGAGAATCGCCTGAACCTGGGAGACAGAGTTGCAGTGAGCCGATACTGTGCCACTGCACTCCAGCCTGGGCAACAGAGTGAGACTCCGTATCCAAAACAGAAGACATGGCAAGGGGCTGAGATACTAATGCAAAAAGGACATCCACGAAGAGTCTGGATTGGCGATGGACCTGAATATTGAGATGTATTTAGGAAGCAGAAAGAGAAGAATACATTGCTGTTTCTTTGTGTGGCAATGGCATGAAGGCTAGATGCAGATTTGAGGGTTTTGGAAGCCAGAGCTGTCTCTGTATTTGCAATATGAGAGTCCCCAGAGGCAGAAGCTGCACCTGCTTTCGTCCTCTTCTTCCCTGGGGGCTCCACAGGAAATGGCAGGGACTTGACCCGCCCCTGCTGCTCATCCCCCAGAGCCCAGCAGTGATTGACTCCCCACTGAAGCTGGAGCTGCGGGTCCTGGCCCCACCACGCTGCACCATCAAGCCCTCTGGCACCACCGTCTCTGTCACTGCTAGCGTCACCATCGCCCTGGTCCCACCCGACAAGCCTGAGGTCCAGCTGTCCAGCATGACTATGGTATGGGTCCTGGAGTGGGGGCTGCTAGCTGGGGGTCAGGGAAAAATTGACTGTGGGTTACTGACCTTCTGGGTGACATCCTCCTCCCCATGTTCCTGCAGGACGCCCGTCTCAGCGCCAAGATGGCTCTCCGGGGGAAGGCCCTGCGCACACAGCTGGACCTGCGCAGGTATGCAGGCGTACCTCCCTGCACCTCAGTGTCTTGAGGACAATCACACCTATCCACAGGGATGTTGAGTTAAAATTCGTTCATACCTATAAGTCACTGAGAGCTGGGGTCTATCTTTGTTAATGCATGCTAAAGTGCTTTGGTAAAATCTAACTCCTCTGCATTCTCACATGTCCCAGAGGCAGGCAGGGCAGGTATTATGAGAGATGAACAAATGGGTCCAGCAATGTTCAATAACATGCCCACAGTCACACAGCAAAGATCAGAACATGGGTTTTGACAAAAACTTCAGCACAACACGGCTTTGTGACCTTGAGGCCATTTTATCTTTCTTTTTAAAAAATGTTATTATTCTTTTTTTTTTTTTTTTTTTGAGGAGTTTCGCTCTTGTTGCCCAGGCTGGAGTGCAATAGCGTGATCTTGGCTCACTGCAACCTCCGCCTCCCAGGTTTAGGCAATTCTCCTGCCTCCGCTTCCTGAGTAGCTGGGATTACAAGTGTGCGCCACCACGCCCGGCTAATTTTTGCATTTTTAGTAGAGATGGGGTTTCATCATGTTGGTCAGGCTGGTCTCGAACTCCTGACCTTAGGTGATTCACCTGCCCCGGCCTCCCAAAGTGCTGGGATTATAGGTATGAGCCACTGCGCTCGGCCTTATTTTATTTTTATTGTATTTATTTATTTTTGAGACAGAGTCTCACTCTGTTGCCCAGGCTGGAGTGCAGTGATGCAATAATAGCTCACTGCAGCCTTGACCTCCTGGGTTCAAGTAATCCTCCAGCCTCAGCCTCCCGAGTAACTGGGACTACATGCATGCACCACCATGGCTGACTATTTTATTTTTTGTAGAGACAGGGTCTCACTTTGTTGCCCAGGCTGGTCTCCAATTCTTGGGGCTCAAGTGATTGTCCCACCTCAGCCTCCCAAAGTGCTGGGATTAGAGCCATGAGCCACCGCACCCAGCCCATTTTGTCTTTCTAGGCCTCATTTTCTCCATGTGTTTAATACAGGTAAAAGTAGCATCTGCCTTCTAGGGCTGTGCTGTCCAATATGGTAGATACTAACCACATGTGACTATTTACATTTAAATTAATTATAATTAAAGTTTTTCAGTTGTACTAAGCCACATTTCATTAGCCACATGTGGCTAGTGACTACCACAGTGGACAATGCAGATACAAAACATTTTATAGAAAATCTGACTGGACAGTGCTGTTCTAAGGTTAAAGGAGATAAGGTAGGTTAGGACCCTAGATTTTAGAGGCAAGTTCTGACACTTCCCAGCTGTGTGACTTCAGGCAAATTACGTAACCTTGTGGGGCCTCATTTTCCTCATCTATAAAGTACAAATCGTAATAGTGCCCACTCCTTAGGCTTGTTATGAGGACTGAACCAGTTGGTACTGTATTTTAAAACAGTTTACTAATATTACCTTTTTTTTTTTTTTTTTTTTTTTGAGACAGAGTCTCGCTCTGTCGCCCAGGCTGGAGTGCAGTGGTGCAATCTCGGCTCACTACAAGCTCCGCCTCCCGGGTTCACGCCATTCTCCTGCCTCAGCCTCCCGAGTAGCTGGGACTACAGGCGCCCACCACCACACCCGGCTAATTTTTGTTGTATTTTTTAGTAGAGACAGGGTTTCACTATGTTAGCCAGGATGGTCTTGATCTCCTGACCTTGTGATCCACCCGCCTCGGCCTCCCAAAATGCTGGGATTACAGGCACGAGCCACCGCGCCCAACCTACTAATATTAACTTTTTAAACACGTTGGCTGGGTGCAGTGGCTCACACCTGTGATCTCAACACTTTGGGAGACCAAGGCAGGTAGATCACTTGAGGCCAGGAGTTCGATACCAGCCGGAGCTACAAAGTGAGATCCCGTCTCTACAAAAAAATTTACAAGTTAGCCAGTCATGGTGATGCACGCCTGCGGTCCCAGCTACTTGGGAGCCTGAGGTGGGAGGCTGACTTGAGCCCTGGAGGTCAAAGCCACTGCGAGTTAAATTGCACCACTGCCCTCTAGCCTGGGCAACACAGTGAGACACTGTCTCAAAAATAAATAAAAATAAAAAAAGAAAATAAATATGCTTAGTGTCTGACAGGAACTAAGCAATGTGAGTTTTGTTACATAAAGTAAATAACACCTGCAAAGCTACCAGCAGAAGTCTGGCACATTAGAAGTGCTCAATAAATAAAAAGTAGCAGCTTGGAGAAAAGGAGACCCAAGTGGCAGCCATAACTGGCCCGAGGATACTTGGAAAGTTGTAGCACCTGGAAAGGTGCCTACGTGGGGCATCTGAGCCTGCAACTCAGGCACCTCTGGCAGGTAGGCCTGGGTGGTCTGAGGAAGGGGAGCTTCCAGGCTTCCTGCCCACAGGGCTCCTTTCTCTCCCGCAGGTTCCGAATCTATTCCAACCATTCTGCACTGGAGTCGCTGGCTGTGAGTGGGGAAGGGTGGGTAGGCTGGGCTGGGTTCGTGAGATCCTGATCCTCACCATTCCCTCCTCATATAACTGCTCACCCATGGGCAACTAAACCCACCCCTGACTGGCTGCCCTGTTTCCCCCTTGCCCCCCCAGCTGATCCCCTTACAGGCCCCTCTGAAGACCATGCTGCAGATCGGGGTGATGCCCATGCTCAACGGTAAGGCTGGGGTGTGAGGACGGAGGAAGAAAGGAGGGGTGAACTGGGCGGGCCCAAACTGAGCGGGGTGCTCCCACCCACAGAGCGGACCTGGCGTGGGGTGCAGATCCCACTACCTGAGGGCATCAACTTTGTGCGTGAAGTGGTGACGAACCATGCGGTGAGTGGGGGCAGGATGGGGAAGGAGGGCAGGGCGTTCCCCTCTCTCTATAGTTCCCCAGTGCCCTCCACTCCCTGACCCCAGCTCCCCCATTACCAGCCGTCCCCTCCCGATTTAATCTTAGACTCCTAAAAGCCTTTGCACACACGGTGACTTCTCCTTGGAGCACTCTTCTCCCATCCCAATACCTACTAATCGTTCAGGTCTTAGCTCAGAGGTCACCTTCTCCAAGAAGCCCTCCTTGACACCCATAGTCTACACTCCTACAACCTCATTTTAGCACCTTGACATGGAATTATCCATTAGATTGAGTCCCTGAAAGACAAAGACTGTCTCTTGATCTCTAAACGCTGGCCTCAGTAACTGAATGAATCAATGAGGCTCCCCTCTCCCCCACACAGGGCTTCCTCACCATTGGGGCTGATCTCCACTTTGCCAAAGGGCTGCGAGAGGTGATTGAGAAGAACCGGCCTGCCGACATCGGGGCGTCCACTGCCCCCCCACCCTCCACAGCAGCTGTGTGAGCCCCCAACCCCCACGCTGGCAGCTGTCATTCAGGACTCCAACCCCTCTCAGCCCCTCTTTTCCCACATTCATAACCTGTAGTGCCCCCTCTAACCCCCAGTGCCACAGAGAAGACGGGGTTTGAAGCTGTACCCAATTTAATTCCATAATCAGTCAATCCATCAATTACAGTCCGTCCACCACCTCCCTGTGGGCTGTCCTGAGCTCTGTTGGGTTCCTGGGATGGGATCAGTGCATAAAGGGCATTCTTTAAGCAGAGAGGGGGCCAGGCCACCCCATTCAGGAACTGTTATGGGAATAAAGTGCTCACTTGCCCCCAGGCTGTCTGTGGGAGACCCTGGCCCAGTCTGGGATGCACAGGGCTGTGGGAAGGGGGCAGTCCTGAAGGCAGAACCTGGCCTGTAGGGGCACTTTGCTTAGAAGAAGACTCTCCTAGCAGGAGTGGCTGGGAGGGGCTGCATCAGGCCGTGGAGCTGGTTGCTGTGGTCCTCAGTATGGCTGCTTGTTCAGGAAGCGGGAGAACATGGTGAAGGCAGCCAGGGGCTTGTCAGTGGGAACCATGTGGCCGGCGCCCTGAGGAGCAATGTTTGTGAGCTCCTGACCCCCACCATTCCCTCCTCCCCATATAACTGCTCACCTGTGGGGAATTCCTTCATCCCAAGCCCTTTATTCTTCCCAGAACCCTCCCCACCCCTCTCTAAAAAAGCTTGCCCATACAGGGGCCAGATGGTGACCCATGACCCAGCCTAAAAGGCAGCCAGAGGGAAAGGACAGGTGGGTCCTGCTCCTTCGCCTCCGGCCCAGTTATCCCTCAGCAGGCCCAGTCCCTACCTTGATCGTGAGAAAGGCGATGTGGGAGAACTCCTTCACGAAACCGGCAATCTGCTCCCCGCTGTCCCCATACTTCACTAACCAGGGCCGGCGCTGCACCTCCATCTGCCCCATCAGGAAAGACATCGGCCTACAGCAGCTGCATCCTTGCTCACAGCTACCAGCAAGACCTTAGGGCTGGGAATTCCTCCACACTTGCCCTCTGTGGACCAGAGCCAGGTAGCCAGCCAGCCACTCCCAGGCATACCCGCCCCTGATCCTCCACAGCAGCCCCTATCCAGGGCCAGGAATCTCTGTCTTACCTTCTGGTTGAGGGAATCCACAAACCACTCATCCCCCATGAAATTGCAGGCCATGTCTACATCTCCGTTATATAACAGGATCTGGTATTTCTAAAGCAGGACGGGGTGAAAATGAGTGGTGTGGAACAAGCCCAGGCTTTAGCCCTTCCCTAGTTCAAGGCCTACCCCTCAGGGAATTCAAGGGGCCGAGCCAGATAGCACGAACCAGGGAATTCTCATGTTTTCTGATGACTTACTGCATGTCCAGTATTCTACTAAATGTTTTACCTATGAGGCAGATATCAGTATCTACCATTATCCCCATTTTACAGATGGGGAACCTGAGGCTCATATTTAAGAAATTTGCCCAAGATTATGTGGCTAGTACAGGGACTTGTACCCAGGCCATGTGACTCCAGAGCCCATGCTATGAACCACTGTGCTGTGTTAGGACAGAACCTGGTCCTAACCTGGCTCTGCCAGTGCCTCCTATATCACCTTGGACAAGGTCTCCTCCCACCCTGGACCTCAGCTAGCCCATTTTTGGCATGAATGAAGCTCTTCTCACCCTTAAGGCTCCTTGGCTGATCCAGACCACTTGGCCTCCTATAGCAGTGCAGCATGGGTGGGGACAAACCCAGGTTCAAATTCTGACCCCACCAGTCACAGTACCCTGGGCTTCACCTTTCGGAGTTTCAGCTTCCCTTGTCCTGACAGGAAGTCTAAAGGGTCCCCAGCTTGCTGTGCTACTCTGGGGTCCTAAGGCTGCTGGTGGATCCAGCTGTGCTGTCCCCACTCACCTGTGAACTAAGCAGCTTCAGATACTGGGAGTTCATGCTTCGGTAGAGACGGCGGTACTGTAAGTTTACCAGAAAGCTGCCGGGAACATACGTGCAGGCCCCAGGAAGACCAGGTAGGGGCGAAAAATAGTCAACAGATCAGACCTTCTCTCCTATCTCCAAGCTCCAACCCAGAAAGCAGACAGCTGGGTTCCACTCCTCTTTTTGGGGGGCCACCTCTCTAGGACTGACCTGGATGATGGGCTGGGATTCAGAGAGCCTCAACTCATCCCCATTTAGAAATGTACAGGGATGCCAGGTGCAGTGGCTCACACCTGTAATCCCAGCACTTTGGGAGACCGAGGTGAGTGGATCACGAGGCCAGGAGTTCGAGACCACCCTGACCAACATGGTGAAACCCCATCTCTACTAAAAAAAAATACAAAAATTAGCCAGGCATGGTGGTACATGCCTGTAATCCCAGCTACTCAGAAGGCTGAGGCAGGGAGGCGGGAGGCTGAGGTTGCAGTGAGCAAGATTGCACCACTGCACTCCAGCCTGGGCAATAGAGTAAGACTCCATCTCAAAAAACAAAAAAACAAAAAAACACCTACAGGGACACGTTTTGGTTGTTACAGGGACTGGGATGCATCTGGCATTTAGTGTCTAGGGGCCAGCAGGTGTGAGAGTCACAACATATAACAAGGTAGAGTGTGAGCACTGACCAATCAAAATGGACCTGAGCAGCCCCAGATGGGCCCAGTGTCACCCTTTTACTTGCGGTGGCGGGGGGCTCACAGATTGAACATGGAAGTAATAGTTTGTTGTTGTTGTTGTTTGAGATGGAGTTTCACTCCTGTTGCCCAGGCTGGAGTGCAGTAGCATGATCTTGGCTCACTGCGACCTCCACCTCCCAGGTTCAAGCGATTCTCCTCCCTCAGCCTCCTGAATAGCTAGGATTACAGGCACCCACCACCACACCTGACTAATTGTGTATTTTTAGTAGAGATGGGGTTTTACCATGTTGGCCAGGCTGGTCTCGAACTCCTGACCTCAGGTGATCCGCCCACCTCAGCCTCCCAGAGTGCTGGGATAACAGGCATGAGCCACTGTGCCAGGTCAGAAGTAATAGTTATTAACCAATGTGGTGGCTGGGTGGGTAATCTCAGCACTTTGGGAGGCCAAGGAGGGAGGATTGCTTGAGACCAAGAGTTCAAGACCAACCTGGACAACATAGTGAGACCCTGTCTCTATAAAAAATTTTTTAAAAAATTAGCCAGGAATGGTGGCATGTGCCTGTAGACCCAGCTACTCAGGAGACTAAGGTCGGAGGATCGCTTGAGCTAGGAGGTTGAGGCTGTAGTGAACTGTGAAACAACAACCAATGTGGCTATGTAATGAATTGGGGCTGGGTGGGGTGGCTCAAGCCTGTAATGCCAGTACTTTGGGAGGCTGAGGTGGGCGGATCACTTGAGCCCCAGAGTTCAAAACCAGCCTGGGCAATATGGTAAAACACCATCTCTACAAAAAAATACAAACATTAGCCGGGGGTGGTGGTGTGCGTCTGTAGTCCCAGCTACTGAGGAGGTGGGAGGATTACTTGAGCCCATGAGTTCGAGGCTGCAGTGAGCTGTGATCACGCCACTGCACTCCAGCCTAGGTGACAGAGTCTCAAACAAAAACATTTAAATTTTGTCTCAAACAAAAACATTTAAAATTTAAAAAAGAAAAAAGAATTGGCTGTCAATCCACTGAGGGGTCAGGGATGGATGTTAAACATCCTGTACAGCTCATCTCATCAAGAAACCCTACACAGAAGATCCCTGGGAACCTGCTGATGCCCACAAGCCCCAGCAACCCACCACCCCAAGTCACAGGTGGCCACAGAGCCTCACTTGCACATGTCCCATTGCGGCAGCTGTTCCGGGATGTGGAGGGCCTTCCGCACGTACGGGTTGTTGAGGTAGGTGGAAGCAGCTGTCGTGTTGGTGCAGGGGGGGTCCATGCGCACTTTGTCCCCTGAGCGCAGCAATGCCTGGAGGGCACACACTGAGGGTCAGGGCCTCTGCTTCCCTGCCCCTGCCCCCGTCCCCACCTCACCAGGAGGAAGCCCACGCCCTTGCACACCTGATGCCACGTCCGCTTGAGTGGCAGGCGAGTGAAGATGTTGCCCAAATCCTGGACCACAACAGTGTCCTTCTCATACCTGCATGTGAGGTGGGGGGATGGGTGGAGCCTCCAGATGGGGCTGGGGTTGGCCCCAGGGGCACCCAGCAGCACCTACCTAAAATGGCTGGGCACCCCTCCAGCACAAGGGGCATAGAGGTTGTAGATGTTGAGGCCAGAGTTGCCCACGATGCGGGCCACTTCCTGAAGCTGCAATGATACACCAAGCCACCATGCTTTACAGATCCCTAGCCTCTCCACAACCCCACCAAGTTGTCCCAAGATTTATTGCTCTTGAATTTCACCTCTTCACCCACTTTTTTTTCACAGGTAGGGAAACTGAGGCTCAGTGGCAGTTATCTTCCCAGCCCTAGGTCCAAATCCTAGCATCACTGCCTCCCAACACTGACTTCAGACAGTGATTTCAAAATTCATGGCCCTCAGGTTTCCTTATCTGGAAAATGTGGGTAGTACGATCTTATTTGAGGGGGAATCTTGAAGCTTAAGTAATCTACATAGACACAGTTCAGCACAGTGCCTGCCACACTGCAGGTGTTTGATAAATGTGAAGAAGTCCTTTCTCCCTCACACAGGTTATGGGATTTGCCGCCATAGGAGGTGGTGGTGGGAATACACACTCAGACACATGTCCCAGAGAACACTAAATTGCTTAAAGGTGCAAGAAGGCAATGAGGGATGGAGAACAAGGAGTCCCCAAGGAGGGAATGTGGTCACATTCTTGGGATTAGGGATGGGAGGGCTGATGCAGAGTGACGGCAGAACCTCACATTGGTCACGCATTCCGGGTCTTTGTTGTCATAGAAGTTACACTTGTTTTGAGAGCAGCAGTGGGTCTGGAGAGAAGACCAAAGCCTGTAGGAGATGAGAGTGAAAAGTGCATCAGCCTCTGGTGGGAAGAGGAGGGCAGAGGAGGCGAGCATACCCCCACCTCCCACCAACCTCCCTGACCCTAGGAGACTAGGAAAGGTATCACAGGGTGTGGTCTGCACGTCACCTAAGCTAGCTCCCAAAGAGGTGCCCCAGGGTCATACAGACAGGCCTCCTTAGTTCCTTTAAAATCTGATCTCTGGCTGGGCGCCGTGGCTCACGCCTGTAATCCCAGCACTTTGGGAAGCCAAGGCGGGCAGATCATTTGAGGCCAGGAGTTCGCGTCTAGCCTGGCCAACACAGCAAAATCCCATCTCTACTAAAAATACAAAAAAATGGCCGGGCGCGGTGGCTCAAGCCTGTAATCCCAGCACTTTGGGAGGCCGAGACGGGCGGATCATGAGGTCAGGAGATCGAGACCATCCTGGCTAATACGGTGAAACCCCGTCTCTACTAAACAATACAAAAAACTAGCCGGGTGAAGTGGCGGGTGCCTGTAGTCCCAGCTACTCGGGAGGCTGAGGCAGGAGAATGGCGTGAACCCGAGAGGAGGAGCTTGCAGTGAGCTGAGATCCGGCCACTGCACTCCAGCCTGGGTGACAGAGCAAGACTCCGTCTCAAAAAAAAAAAAAAAAAAAACAAAAAAATTAAGCAGGTGTGGTGGTACGTGCCTGTAGTCCCAGCTGCTTGGGATGCTGAGGCACAAGAAGTTGCTTGAACCTGGGAGGTGGAGGTTACAGTGAGCTAAGATCGCGCCACTGCACTCCAGCCTGGATGACAAAGTGAGACTCTGTCTCAAAAAAAAAAAAGAAAAAAAAGAAAAATCTGATCTCTATTCTTTGGCCTTTCAGCACTGTGTTCTTTCTGCAACCCACCTGCTGCTCATAAACCTGGGCTGGGCCTGTCATATCATGTGCCTGGAGGACAGACTCGAGATCATGTGACCCTAGAGATTGCCCAATTGCCCTATCCCATACCTGTTCCCCAGAAGGCCATGGTAGTAGGCAAAGTAGACCAGGGAGTTGTCATTCTGCTCATAGGAGGAGAGTCCATTGCCCACAGCCAGCCCCTGTGAAACACCCAGGGCGCTCAGCTCATGTGGAGGGCGAAGAGGAGGAGCCTCCCTCACCCTAACACCCAGACCTTCAGCAATCCGGAAGCTGAAACCCAGGGTGGTTTATGGGGGCGGTTGGGTGTGGGAGGTCACTCAATGCACAGCACAGAGCTGGCAGCCTGACAGATGAGTTTCCTGTTGTGGGAGGCACACTAGACAGACCTAGGGCAGCTGGTGGTGGGGAGGGTATGCAGGGAGCTGGGTTGGATGGGGCTGTTGACCAGTCTGACCTTGCTAACTGCAAGGCCACAGCCTCAAGGTGCCTCCCTTCCCTCCTGCAGCTGCCCTGCACCTGAAGGTTCATGCTGGGGTCCTGCATGACCAGCACGGCCAGGGTGGGGATGTAGATGCCAGCATAGCTCTCCCCGGTCAGGAAAAGTTTGTTGTTCTTATACTCCGGAAAGAGGTGGAAGAAATCTTGAAGGGCCTCAAAATTGCTCTGGGCGACCTGGGGATGGGAGACCAAGACAGAGGGAATCAGGAAGCTTTGGTATTTGAACTGGAAAGAACTTCAGAGATCATGACATCAACCCACCCTGTTTGTGTAAGAGGAAGTGACTGGCCACCATACCACAAGCATATGACAGAGCGAAAAGTGGACTCCAAGGCCATGCTCTCTCTCCCAGCATCATGCCATGGATGGAGGACTGGGGAGCCTGGGGCAGATGGGCAGGCACCGGACTCACCTCAGTGTCATTAGTTGCATAAAACTTGTCATCGGAGTAGGAGAAGCCCACCCCAGCTGGGGACTCCAGATATAACACATTAGCAATCTAGAAGGGAGGGAAAAATTAGTCAACTGCCACCCCATCCAAGTGCCCAGACACCCCCACAGGACCCACAGCTCCAGCTATACCAGATTCCAAGAATAGGGGTTGTACTCCAGGGTGACACCATCTGGCTGGACCTGAGGAGGAAAGAGATGGCTGAGTAAGTCCCAAGGGCCAGCTGGGTGGAGGGAAAGGGCCACCGTGAGAGGCACTTTACGTGTGGGCAAAACCCCTGAGAGGTACAAGCAGCAAAGCCAATGGCATAGAGGAAAATCCCAAGACTTAGAAGGAAGGAAACTTTCTGGAAAATCACAAAGTCCGTTTCTCCCTTTCCCCAGCCTTTTGCTTTAGGAACTGTGCTTTACCCCTGCTGTCCACTCACCAGGAAGGGGCCATGCTCTGTGAGGAGCCCATCTAGGGAGCTGCAGCCGGGACCCCCATTGAGCCAAAGCACCACAGGGCTGTTCTCGGGATCCTTCTGGGACTCCACAAACCTGGGAAGGGGTGTCAGGGCAGTGTTGGTGCAGTTGCAGGGGTCCTTTCCAGCCCTCCCGGCTCCCAGGCGTCCTCAGGGGTCTGCAGAACTACCCCCCACCCCTCATCCGTCATCTCTCCTCCCAGTCCCGCCCGGGAGGCAGGGCGGCAGACCAGTAGTGGAGGTGCTTGGAGCCGGAGCCTTTGAGGTAGCCGGAGTACTGGCGGAAGGACGGCTGCTTGGCCAGCCCGGGGAGGCGCTGGATCTCGTCCTGGTCCGGGGCTGCCTCGCCTCGGGGCGCCCAGGACACTAGCAGCAGCAGCAGGAACAGCAGCGGCGGCGCGGCTCGGATCATCTACGGGAGGCAGAAGAGGGGCTGTTGCCTCGCTCCTCAGCGCTTCCGTGAAGCAGCACCCGGGGAGGAGCTGGCAGCGCCTCCGCGAGGGAAGCCCCGGCCCCAGCGCCAGCTCCCACCCTCAAGCCTCCTCTACCGCGCACCGATCCCGGGCTCGGGGATCCCCTCCAGCCTCCGGTGCCAGCTCACCTCTGCTCCCCCGTGTCCTTGCTCTCCAGGAGGCGCCCGGGGACTGGAAGTCATGTGTACTCCGAGTCACGTGAACTCCGGCGCCACGTGACAGTCTTCCCCCCGCCCCTTCTTTGGTCCCTACTGGCCTGGGGGGCGGTGGCGGTCAATGCCGGGTCAAGGTCCGCGGGCCTCACGGATCGTAGCCCGGGCGCACGCGATCAGATGATCCGGGTGTGGATGGCCAAGTTCTAGGAGGGATGGCTGAGCAAGCGGCGCTAGGACCCCCGGGCAGAGGCTCGGGGAAGGGAGGCAGGGGGGAAATGCCTTACAAGGTCCCCTTGCGGTCACCATCTGAGCCCGCCGCCCAAAATAGCCCCCGGCGCCCGCCAGCCTGCCTTATGGCCGAGAGATGGCTGCTGCCTCCGAGCCCGTGGATTCGGGTGCACTCTGGGGACCTGCGCGCCCGGAGCCCCCTCCCACCCGCTTCCATTGGGTGCACGGTGACAACATCCGCGTGGACCCCTCTGGGATGCGGGCCACACGCGTGGAGAGCTTCGCCCACGGCGTGTGTTTCAGCCGTGAGCCCCTGGCCCCGGGCCAGGTCTTCCTGGTCGAGATCGAAGAGAAAGAGCTGGGCTGGTGCGGACATCTGCGTCTCGGTCTGACGGCGCTGGACCCCGCCAGTCTGGCCCCCGTTCCCGAGTTTTCTCTGCCCGACCTAGTCAACCTGGGCCACACCTGGGTCTTCGCCATCACGCGCCACCACAACCGCGTGCCCCGGGAGGGCCGCCCGGAGGCCGAGGCAGCGGCCCCCAGCCGACCTCCAACCCTCCTGGTGGAACCATATCTGCGCATTGAGCAGTTTCGCATTCCCCGGGACCGCCTGGTGGGCCGCAGTCGGCCAGGGCTCTACAGCCATCTCTTGGACCAGCTCTATGAGCTGAACGTGCTGCCTCCGACGGCGCGCCGTAGCCGCCTGGGCGTCCTCTTCTGCCCGCGCCCCGATGGCACGGCCGACATGCACATCATCATCAACGGCGAGGACATGGGCCCCAGCGCCCGGGGGCTGCCAGCTGCGCAGCCCCTCTACGCGGTGGTGGACGTGTTTGCTTCCACCAAGAGCGTGCGCCTTGTCCAGCTCGAGTATGGCTGTAGGTATCCCTGGGCAGCGACCCCTCCTGGCGCAATGTGGGGACAGGAATCTGCTAGGGCTCGTAGCCAGTGTGCTAGGCCTCGTCTGTCCAGCACTAGTTTAAGAGTGGGAGAATCTAGCTTCAAATTACACTTCTGCTTGTGATCTTGCACAAGCCTCTACCTGGTTTTGGGCCTTGGTACCCATCTTGGCTGATGGATTAAGATGCCCTACAAGTTCACTTTTAGTTTTGAGAATGTTTCCTGTATTCACCTAGGGCAGGGATTCTAAACTGATTTTAGATATTAGGGGCCTCTTTGAGAATTGTTTGCCCTTTTCTTAGAAACATGCTTGGCCGGGCATGGTGGCTCACACCTGTAATCCCAGCACTTTGGGAGGCCGAGGCAGGCGGATCATTTGAGGCCAGGAGTTTGAGACCAGCCTGGCCAACATGGTGAAAGTCTGTCTCTACTAAAAATACAAAAATTAGCTGGGTGTGGTGGCATGTGCCTATAATCCCAGCTATTCGGGAGGCTGAGGCAGAGAATCACTTGAACCTGAGAGGTGGAGGTTGCAATGAGCCGAGATCTCACCAGTGCACTCCAGCCTAGGCAACAGAGTGAGACTCTGAAAAAGAAAAAAAAAAAGAAAGAAAGGAAGAGAGAGAGAGAGAAGGCAGACAGGCAAGGAAGGGAAGGGAAGGGAAGGGGAGGGGAGGGAAGCGAAGCTCAAGCCTGGGCAACAAAGTGAGACCCCTTCTGTACAAAAAATTAAATAATTATCTGGGCATGGTGGTGCATGCCTGTAGTCCCAGCTATTTGGGACCACTGACCACTGCACTTCAGCCTGGGTGACAGAGCAAGACCCTCTCTCTTTAAATAAAAAAAAGAAAAGAAAGAAACACGCTTGTAGACTTGGGCATATTGGCTTCGAGGAAAAACAAACCCCAGACTGAGAGCTTTTTAATGCTGAGGTATGATTCATTATAGCCCTGGTAAGCATTGTAGTTATACCTCTGATCACATTTCATGAATTCAGTGCACCAGAACCCTCTTTGTGCCAGGCCTGTACTGGAGGCTGCAGTTGCACAGGCAAATCAGATACTACTCCTGCCCCCAGAAGCTGCTAAGTGAACGAGGATGGGATTGTGCTGTGTTATGATATAAACAGGGTTGCAGCTTTGTGATAGCCCTTGGGAAGAGGTGCTTCTCTCAGCCCCATGAACAGCTCCATGAAGCAGGCTGGGCCCAGAGAGCAGTAAGGACTTGCCCACATTTAATGGCAAAGTGAGGACCATGACCTAGATCTTCTGGGTCTTGGCCTCAGACCCACCCTCCAGTTCAGTTTGCCTTTCACAGTCTTCTTCCCACAGTGCCGTCCCTGCAGACTCTGTGCCGCCTAGTGATACAGAGAAGCATGGTGCACCGGCTGGCCATTGATGGGCTCCACCTGCCCAAAGAACTTAAGGATTTCTGCAAGTATGAGTGAAGACCTGCAGCGCACCGAAACAGAGCTGCATCCTGGGGCCTCAGACCTGTGGCTGGCTGGTCTGAAGTTGGCCATATTGCTGCCATCCAGGACCAGAAATAAACAGCCAATGCTGACATCTTGATCATTGGAAGGTCTCCTTGCCCTCCAGCCTAGGAGAGGCACTTCGTTTAGAATTACTGCAGGTCAGCAGGTCGGAGCAAGAGAGCAGGGGTTCCTAGGCTGGCTGCTTGTTAGAGTCATCTTAGGATACGTAAAGAGGGCTGGTGTCCCACATCCCATCCCTAGGGATTTGTATTTGATCTGTTGGGAAATTAGGCCTAGACATTGTTTTTTGTAAAAGCTTCTCAAGAGATTCTCATGTACAGCCAGGGTTGAGAAGTATGTCCCTAGAATAGAGGTTCCAACTTTGTCATATATTATAATCACTTGAGGACTTTGAAAAATACCAATACCTGGCCTGTAATCCCAGCACTTTGGGAGGCCGAGGCGGGCGGATCACTTGAGGTCAGGAGTTTGAGACCAGCCTGGCCAACATGGTGAAACCCTGTCTCTACTAAAAATACAAAAGTTAGCCAGGCATGGTGGCGGGTGCCTGTAGTCCCAGCTACTTGGGAGGCTGAGGTAGGAAAATCACATGAACCCAGGAGGCAGAGGTTGCAGTGAGCTGAGGTCTTGCCATTGCACTCCAGCCTTCCAGCCATGGTGACAAAGTGAGACTCCATCTCAAAAAAAAGAAAAAGAAAAATACTAATACTGGGTCTGACCCCAAGTCTTACTCTACAAGGCACAAAGCACTTGGCTCCTGTATTTCCATCTCTGGTCATTTGCTTCTATACAAATGACCTCATTTCATCCTCAAAACTTCTAATGAGATAGTGGGCAGTCATCAGACCCACTTTACATATAAGGGTATCAAGGAACAAAACTGTCCGGGTGACTCATCCAAGGTTAGGGCAAGAACCTAGAACACCCAGCTCCTGGTCTGGTGCTCCTTTAACCTCATCCTATTGTCATGTTCAGGTTCTAGAATGAATAGGTCAATGCTGTAAGGTGGGTTCCAAGTGTAAAGAGGAGGGTCTATGAGGTGACGTTCTAGAAGGGCGAAGAAGGGAGGATAGGAGGCAGATTACTATTCCCTCACAAACCGGGGCTCTGGGGAAGCCATGTCCTACTTCAGGACTCCACAAACTCATCCAGGTCCTCTGCCTTCTGGCCAAGGTGAGCAGGGGGCACCTGCAATTGGAGGGAGCGCTGCAGCTTCCCCTGAGAAGTTGCTTTCTGGCTCTGGGGAGGTGGTGGTTCTGCTGGGCATTTGGGGGCTGGCCCTAGAATCAATTCTTTTAGAAGAAAAGCCATTCCAAATGTCCTTGCCAATCAATAACTACCTGCTTGCTCACTGTTCATTAATTCAACAAACACTTCTCCATCACCTACTCTGTGTTGGGGACTGGGCATATGGATATGAGTAACACCTAGTTCCCAACCTCTAGACAGTCCGCTGGGGCTGGTCTTTGTTACTCCCCCAAGCTCTGCTCCCATGCCCTGCCCCTCGGGGGCCCCTCCTCAAAGAGACCGAGAATAACGTTCCATTTCATTCCTGTCTCTGCAGGTGGGACTGCTTCTCCAGGCCTGTCCCTTGGCCTCTGTAGTCCTATAGAGCCAGTGGTGGTGGCCTCTGGCGGAACAGGCCCACTGAGCCAGAAAGCTGAGCAGGTGGCACCTGCTGCCCAGGCCTGGGGCCCAGCCCTGGCAATGCCACAAGCCAGGGGCTGCCCTGGGGGGACTAGCTGGGAGACACTACGGAAGGAATACAGCCGAAACTGCCACAAATTCCCGCATGTGAGGCAGCCGGAGAGCTTGGGCTGGGACAATGGCTACTCCAGAAGCAGAGCCCCCGACCTGGGTGGCCCCAGCAGGCCTAGGCCCCTGATGCTGTGTGGGCTATCACCAAGGGTTCTACCGGTACCCTCTGAGGCAGTGGGGAAGGAGGCCAGCTCCCAGCCTGACATCTGCATCCTCACCCTCGCTATGATGATCGCTGGCATCCCCACCGTGCCCGTCCCAGGCGTTCGGGAAGAGGACCTGATCTGGGCTGCTCAAGCTTTCATGATGGCCCATCCGGAGCCAGAGGGTGCTGTGGAGGGGGCGCGGTGGGAGCAGGCGCATGCCCACACAGCCTCTGGGAAGATGCCGCTAGTGAGATCTGAGAGGGGCCAGCCTTCTGGCTCCTGCTTGTAGATGGATGAAATAGCACCAGATACGTAGGGTGGCTTCTCTGTATGGTTCTTGGGCAGACAGGGTTGGGAGGAGGGCCTATGGCAGGGATGGGAGTAGAGCTGGTGGTTGAGCCATTCTGACAAATTCCAGTCCTTCATCAGGGACTTCCAGACCCTAAAGTTTCTCCAGATACCACTAAGACAGGAGATAGGTTTTGTCAGGTATATACAATGGAAATTATGTGAGGTAGGGGCCCCTGCTTGGAGAGTTGAGGCTGCTTTTATGTTTTGAAGACTTGATCAGATTTTTTTTTTTTTTTTTTGAGATAGGGTCTTACTCTGTCACCCATGCTGGAGTGCAGTGGCATGATCACAGCTCACTGCAGCCTCAACCTCCTGGGCACAAGTGATCTTCCCACCTCAGCCTTCCTGAGTAGCTGGGACTACAGGCACGTGCTACATCCAGCAAATTTTTGTATTTATTGTAGAGAAGGGGTTTTGCCATGCTGCCCAGGCTGCTCTAATCTGCCTGTTTTGGCCTCCCAAGGTGTTGGGATTATAGGCGTGAGCCACCGTACCTGGCCTACCCAGAATTTCTTCTTCTTCTTTT